TAAAGCTTAGATTGGATTAAAAAATATGTATCAATATTGTGATTTTCTTTCTTCATTTAATGATAATGTTATTAAGCTTATCAGATGTTATGAAAAGAATTTACATAAAATAAATAGACAACACTTGTCTATATTATTTAATGAAACATGTATGAATATATATATATATATATATATATATATATATATTTAAATTGTAGAAGTTATTTAATATCTATAACACTTCTTCTAAAAGGTGCAACAGAAATACCTCCCACATATACTTCCCGCATAATGGTAGACATTAGTGCCAGTAGTATCTTAAATTAGCAAATGTTTTACCATTATGTGGAAGAGACATCTGCAGTACCCAGCATATAAAAGTGATTTTAAAATATTGAAGTTAAAATGGTATAACACTTTTTATATATGCAAATTATTTAAAAATATAAAAGTTATTTAAAAATCCATAACACTTTTTATATATATATATATATATATATATATAGTTGTGTGCCATGCGTGATACACGCTTAGGCGATAATGCATCTTTCACTACATAATGTATCTTCACTGACGAGGCAGATTTTTTCACACAGTAGGTTGCCATTTCTTTCTGCGGTAGACCAGTTGCTATCCAAGGCTAGAGAACCCGGTCTGTCCTGCTATTTATTCATAGCTGGTGGGAGAAGAGGAGGATTCATACCTTTCCCAAGGATATATATATATAAAAGTTACATAAAACTTTGAAGTTATAATGGTATAATAGTTATATATAAAAACTATTTAAAAATCTATAACATTTAGAAATTATTTTCAAATATTAAGCTAAAAAGTATATTATTTCCTCTCTCCCTCTCTAGGAGTCATTCCCTTGTTCAAATTTAATTCATATCAAAAGGGGAAAAAAATTCAGTGGGAAGGTTTGTGTCCTCTGGGAACCCCCTTTGATCAAAATGATCTTGCCAATGTGACCTCCATCTTCTGGCTCTCTCCTTCTATATTTTGGATATGAGTTATTCCCTTTAACTTAAATCAAAAGGAAAAAAAATTTTGATCAAAATGAAATATACTTATCCAAGTTCCCTGGGTAATGTAGTTTCAGAATATATATGGTTATGGGGGTCTATCTCCAAAACTCTAGGAGGAATTCAATAACAATCACACAGATGCTACATATATATATATATATATATATATATATATATATATATATATATTTACAAATATAGAAGCTATTAAAAAATCTATAAAACTTCTTTATAGATACTGACTAAATTCTTGGAAAGAGTCATTATAATTCCAGGCATTGTTTAGACTCTGGAATTTATTTTCTGTATTATTTCACTTTTACCCCATCTGAGCTGATCTATTCAACAGCTTCCTTCATGTGTCTCTCTTAGAAAAGAAATGGCGGTGAATCTACTGATTGTCTGAGTTCATTCTCAGCAATAGGAGCCACACAGTTTTATAATGAGAATGTTAACCGATATTTCTTATCTTTTTGTCAAATCTTTCCTTAACATATAGTACACCTGAAGAAGGTTAAAACATGGTCATAATAAAAAATACAATAAAACAACACAAGTTCAAACAAATCCAGGAAGACTTATTATTTTTTCTTTTGCTATTTTTTTTAAATATCCCCAAAAATTTACATATATTTACATATTATTTTATGAAAAGATAATAAAATTGGCTTTCCTGTTATGTTGTATTTTCTGAAGGTAACGCTGTAATTTTTTTTAGTAAATGACAATTTTTTTTTTTTTTAAATTAGTTTTTATTAGACATTTTTAATCATTCTTTACAAGCTTTATTATTTTTACTTAACTGATAAAATTGTTTCCAATTATTTTTTCTTTTTTTTTTTATCTTCAGTTACTTACCATATTGGTGGTCTCAAGGTCCTGATAATGTATCTTCTCCTGATGGGTAAGATATTTTTATTATATTTTTTTCATGAAAAAAAATATTTTTATTAATTAATATTCTGTACTGAAGTTGAAAAATAATCACTTTGGTGTTGTTTTTAAAAACTTATTACTCCAGAATTTAGTAACCTACTTGACTGATGCCAAAAGGATTTTAGCAATCACAGACAATCTACCGTTTCTTTATACCATATGTATTCAGCTAATTTGTTCTGGACAGTCATACACCTTACAGCATAAACAGTAAGGAATTGTGATTTGTTCCATAAAATACCTACCAGATTCTTCGTTCGTTCTAAGATTTCTGGAGACATTCTACTAAGATTATATTGATGTCAAACCAAAACGATTCTTTTTGATAAATATTGAGTTATCTCCCTTACATCATATAATTCAGTAACAAAGTGTGAAAATCAGCCAGTGTACTCACTCGACATTATAGCATCAAGAAAGCAAAGATGTTGCAAGAAAATTGTCATATAATAAATGTGGTGTGACTTGCAGGTCTAATGAGCAACATGAGACATCATCTGTGACAAGATATTTAAATATAAGCTTGTTCTCAATGTGAATTGAATCTATGAATTAATTGTACTTGTTCAAACTATAGGAAAATCTATAACATAGTGAAAAAATCTTTTCATGTGATGCGTTTCTTCCTTTAGGACTTCATCAAACTAAAGTGATGTTTATGTTGATGTGACTACATATGCACATGAAAGAGTGGAGGCACAGAAATATTAAACTTTTAAATTTTCCACTTTGTCATGGATTTTCCTAAAATTGTTCTGATATATAAAATTTTATATATCTTTTTCCCCCTGTATATAAACAAGAATAATTAAAATATTTCTCCTCTTTTATTACTTAAACTAAACAAATTTTTTGGTAAATCTAGAATTTTATATACTAAATCTTTTTTTGCTTTTCCCATTCTAGAAATCATGTTACAACAGTGACCGCTACTCTGATGAATGCTGTTTTGGGTAAAGTTTTAAGTTTGATCTTAAACAATGTCAGCAACCCAAATGCTACCTGGATGAACCGAATTGCATGTGAGTTTACCTTTAATCTATCTTTACCTGTCAATATTCAAATCCACTTAAACATCTCTGTTATTTTTTGTTTTTTGTGGGGGCATTAAATAAGGATCTACAGAATAAACAATATAATATACCTTAAATTCACCTACTTCTCTTCATGTCCAACTATAATCAAATATCATTAGAATTTTGCATTTCCTTCCTTCACACAGATATTGCACTAATGAGTAATGATAAATAATAGACTATTCTGAGAAAAGACAAAAAAATAAATACATTAAAGATGCTGTCTGGTTTTAGTGAGGAAAAAAAGCATACATAATAAGTGTTGTAGCATACCTACAGACAATAATAGGTATGCCCCCATTCCCATAAATACAGCAGTGAATATTGTACATAGTCTAGAGCTGGAGATTCATTGTGGAATTTACTTGACTCACTTCTAGCAGTTGACTGCTACTTCTATGCACCATTGGCTAATCTTATACGTGTTGTTCTTGTCCTAGGTATTATCATTCATTATCAACCGTCATTTGATTATTCTATTCAGTAACCTTCCCTAGATTACAACAATAAAAAAAAAGAGAAATAAAAAATGTTTATTTTTATAACTATAAAATTGTTGGAAATTAATTTTTAGACAAAATAATATGTTGTAATAATATATGTTAAAAATAATGAAAAAAATAATAAAATCCCTTTAATAAAATGATGAAAAAATTTATATAATCTTTTTAATAAAATAATGAAAAAATTATTACAATCTCTATCAAATTAAATTAAAATTTTACATTATTTATCCTGCCATTATTTCAACTGACTATTCTATTTTGGTCGCATGGAAAGACAAAAGAAAAAGATATATCAGAGATGATGTCTGGTTTTATTGAGAAAAGAAAGTATACATAATAATAATATAATGTACATCCTCTTTTAGAATTAGCACTGACCTGTACTTACACATGTACATGAATTATTATAAATTGTAGTCATTTATTTGTTTTAATTTCCTCCTTTCAGCCCGTGTCCAGCCAATTATTGGTAATTCCACACCATATATGGTTGAGGAGCATTTCCTCCCAATTGCCAAAAAAATTCAGAGTTGTGCTGAAGACGTCGAAACTAATGAGAAACGACTTTTTGACAGGAGAAGTACAAGTGAAAATCCAGATTTAGAAGGTGAACTTCAGGAAGTAAGTACCAGCAAACTTTATTTTCTGTACTAATAGATCTTTCTCTTTAAATAACATGCTCCACAGATAACTCATTATTATCTGAATTTCCAAGCATTCTTAGTTTTAGCACACAATCTGAAGAAATTAATGAGAAGCAATTCTCTGTCTCAACTGACAATGGTTTTCCACACAGCAAACAAAAACATTATATATTGTACAGCAAAGTACAAAGGCAGCATGAGACAGGGGGATCAGCTATTTAGCATCTGTCCTAAATTTAACTTAGCCAGACCTAATATTGAGGAAAGAGGGCTGGAAGAATTTGACACTCACAGGACATATTGAAGGTTAGGAAAGCAGTGAATAACCTACTTAATGAGCTTGAGATTGCCAGAACAGGGATTAGGAGAGATAACAAAAAACAAACCTTAAAAAGTTTAGGAAGCTGTGGAGAGTTATGATCACCTATGTCCTAAAGGGACATGTCACTTGATGATATTCCTTATATCAGAAGAACTCACACATTCCTACAGTTACCATAGTAGCACAATTTTTCCATGAAGTCCTAACTAGTCTCTATTGATTAATTGATTGGTTTTCTATGGCTTAGCACCCACTTTCATGTTGTTTAAAGCCAGAGAATTTTTTTTTTTTGTTAGATACTAAGAATTTTTCTTGGAGGTAATAATGATTTAGTGATAGAAATCCTACTAATTAACCCATAGCTGAGAGGAGAAAAGGTGGATTCATATCTTTCCTGAGGGTATTTGTGTATAAGTGAATATAACGAACCTAACAGGAATTGGAACTTGGCTCTCCGATTAACAATTCTGAGCCATTATCCATTACACCACCAACACATACACACTTACACCACCTGGTATTCCCAAGCAGTCACTCATCTAGGTACTGATCAGATTCAACATTGCTTAACTTTGGTGATCATACAGGAACTAGTGTTTTCAAGATTATATGGCCGTTAGTCTAGTCCCCATATGCACAATTGTCTGTGAATGGATAGGGAAAAAAAATAACTCTTAAAAATTTAACTCCAATGTGTATTTCTTCTTCTTTTATGCACCATGTCCCTTCAGAACATAGGCGATCATGGCTCTCCACTTCTTCCTGTCTCTTGTAGCTCTCAATAAGTTTTGTCCCTTTGCTACTTTTCCCAGACCCTGTTCTGTCATCAACTTGCTTAATCCCGCTAGGTATGTCATGCATTTCTTTCACTTGTTTCTCTTTCCCTCTATTCACCCTATTGAGTATCAGATTCTCCAAGCCCTCCTTTCTAATTATGTGTCCCATAGATTTCAGCTGCTTCTGATGTTAAGTATAAGCTTCCTCTTTGTTTGCATCCTCTCCAAAACCTCATCATTGCTCACACACTCAGTCCATGATATCCTTAGCATCCTTTTGTTGAACCATACCTCCATTGCCTTGAGTCTCTTCTTCATCTTTGAGGAGACCATCCAACATTCGCTGGCATTTCAATGCTAAATATTAGTTGCAAAATCAAATAAATCTGTATTAGTGATAGACCTCCCCCCAATCCTAAATTGTGGCAGATGAAAACAATGCAGGACTGAATAAAAAGTAAACATTTTTCTCTACCAAACACTCGCCCAACCATGCACTAATTCAGGCATAACAACAAATATGTAAAACACTTAAAATATGAAAAGTGTCCCTATATCTACTCAAGAATTGACATGGCGTTTAAAGAGAGAGAAGAGAGGTGTTATAGAGTAGTTTCACAGTGGAGGCTTGTATTTCACTAAGTCGATCCTAAAAAGGTTCGACGTACAAAATGTTAGGAACTTGATATAGTTAATGACGCAGCAATCTAGTTGTGGTGGCTGATACTTTAATATCCGACTAACGGTCGTCCGACGTTGACTGACTGACTGACCAACTCTCTGAGCGACTCAGCGACTGCTACTACTCCTACTTATTATAGGTGGGAGAGTCTATTAACAATAGAATAGGTGTGTTCCAGTATAACAAGAGGGAATTAAACTAAAGAAACGGGGGGGGGAGTAAATAGGCCAATGAACATACATGTATACCATCATTAAGTTAACATAAAATAAAAACTTAAAAGCAAAATGGTTTCCTCTACCCTATTATTATTATTATTGAAATGGTGAGATGTAACTAGGTTTTATTCTCTCTCACTTCTTGCTTGTTGAACTCTCTTCAGGTTTCTTGCTTTCCGGTCAACTTTGATCTACAGAAATCTAAATGCAATGTCAATCATTATCTTGTCTTTTTAATTCCTGTTCTGTTCTTTTATTGTTGTTCTCTCAAACTCATTACCCCCCACCTTTGTATCTTAATGGCTTTATTGCCTTATTTGGTTTGAAATGATTGTTTTTTTAAATTTAGGGATGGGTTACACAACTAACAAAAACTACACTGACAAGAAACTGTAAGAGCATATAGTGAGTTTCACGGTTGAATCAATTTCAACTGACTAGTGTGGTAAGCCTCAGACTGCTAATTAGAATTGGAGTTATAGGTGGAAAAGCCAGTGTCAGCAAGGATTGGTAAACCTTCTTTTATGCCAGATTGGTATGTAAGTCTAACACTTGGCAAAGACAGTGGATTGGTTTCCCATTGCCTTCTCTATTCTTTAGAAATCAGTGTTTTCATTCATTTAGACTGATTGCCAACCAAGCCTATGGAGCTCAGTCTACCCTGCTATTTAACCTATAGCTGAGGGGAAAAGTGATGAATTTATACCTTTCCCAAGAGTATTAGTGTGAAAGTGAGCATAACAGAGTAGACCGGAATTTGAACTCAATTCCCCAATTCCACTTTCAGTACCAATATTCATGACACTAATGGAGTTTGGAGTGATTCTTTGGGGTTTTGATTGATTTGATTTTTTATGTCTTATCAACCCTTGCTGAAAACATTTCTTTTATGTGAATGACTATTGCATTAAGAATTTTTTGAGAATAGCAATGATTTCTCCAAATACAAATCCTACTATTTAACCCATAGCTGAGGGAAGAAATGGATCTGTACCTTCCCCAAGAGTATTTGTGCATAAGTGAATGTAACAAAGGTAAATGGAATTTGAACTTGGCTCTCCAGTTTCTGATTTCAAGCCACTGTCCATTACACCACCCACACATTCTTCATTCTTCAGGGATAAAATCAGGTGCATTAATTAGGGAATTTAATCCTTTTGTTTTTCTAATTAATACAGCTGATTTTATCCTCAAAGGAAAATACTGGATATGACAAGTAAAGGAATGAAGATCAGATTGATTTGTATTTTATGGTTTACCAACCTTTTACATGTTATTTAAAGCCAGAAAATATTTTTAGATTATGAGAATTTTTGGGAGATAATAATGATTTACTTATAAAAGTCTTACTAATTAACCCATGTTTGGAGGGAGAAGAGGTGGATTCATACCTTTTCCAATGGTATTTGCGTATAAGTGAATACAATGTCCCCAATGAGAATTGGAACTCAGAACTCCAATTAACAATTCTATTACATCACTGGTACATCCAAACTTGCATCACCTGGTATTCCCAAGAAGTCACCCATCTAGGTACTGACTGGGATCGATGTTGCTTAACTTCAGTAATTGTACAAGGAGGAGTGTTTCAGCATGATATCGCTGTAAGCATCATCCATGGATCAGGGTTCTGTTTAATATCCTCTAGGAAGGATATTCCAGATATGATAGGTAAAGAATTGAGAGTAGCTTACTTCAGGATCAAATAAAGTTCTGTGTTCAGCTTGAAGATTATTATATGTAATGAGTATCTGCTATATTTGGAGTCTTTTGAAGGGAATTTTAGAATTTGGCAATATCATTTCTTCCTTCTCATCTCCCTTCTTCAGTGATCTTTTTTTTTCTTCTTTTTTTTTTTTTTTGATTTTCTTCTTTTGGGAATGTTATTTAATAAATGTGTTATCTCTTAATAAATATTCTTCTTTTTGTTTTTCAGCTCTACAGCATTTTGGTGAGAGATTTATATGCATTCTACCCACTACTAATCAAATATGTTGACTTGCATCGTTCAAGCTGGTTGAAAAATCCAATTGTTGCTGCTGAAGAACTTTTCAACTCAGTGGCTTACATATTCACACTTTGGTCAAGATCACTAGTGAGTTTCTTTCTTTGTTTCTCTTATGCAATTGTATTTTTAACTTTTTAAATATTTTCAAGTCATTATAAGAGTAGTAGTAGTAGTAGCAATAATCATAAAAATAATAAATCTTACAAATATGGTAAGACAAGAAAGAAATTTCCTAAAGTAAATATCAAAGTAATAAAGTTTTCTTGAATTTAGAAATTAAAATGTTTTATTAAATGTTATTTTTAGTGGACATCCATATTTGAGTAGACATTCTGTTTATTTATTAAACAGTATATTTATTTTTTCATCTACTGGCCTGAATATTCAAGAAATCTTATTAATGAAAAATATGTGCTCTTTGGCAGGATTTGAAACTGTGTCCACCCTGGTAGGAGAAACCATTGTCAGATCAAATGAGCTTTAAAGCCAATGATTGAACAAAGTTGAATGGTGATGTATGCTTGATATTGGACACATTTCATGGCTGAGATATGGATCTAAGGATGGTTTCCCCTAACAACGTGGACACAAGTTTGATTCCTGCTGGAGAGCATATTTTTCTTTAGGAAGATTTTCCTGAATGCTGGTAGATGAAAATAAATATTGTTTTTAATAAATAAACGAAGCATATACTCAAATATGGGTATCCACTAAAAATAACAAGCCAATATCCATTACATCAGAATGTTCATTCTTCTAAAATTTAGTAAGCAAAAGAAAAAAAAAAAAACCCAATCTGAACCTTTCTGCTACCACAATTTTTTCTGCTGATCTTCAGATAGTAAAAGTCCTGACTTTGTTAGGCAAGACTGAAAAGATAATCTTCTTTAGTTAATTATTATTGTTGTAACCTAGAAAAGGTTACTGAATGAGGGATAACCAAAACGAAGGTTGGAAATGAAATAGTAATCTTTATAAGATCAACAAAATACAATACTCACCAGCAGTGTAAAATAGGTAAACCACTGCTAGTGGTGGACTACTTAAACAGCATATTACCCCCACTTACAATAATGTCCAATGTATGAGGATTGGGACATACTGATTAGTGTTCATAGCTATGATATATAGATAGCTAAGAACATGGTGAGATAGATACATAGATATTATACTATTGCTTCATGAATATATATATATATATATAGAGAGAGAGAGAGAGAGATGTGTATGTTAGGAGATTGGGATCAAATATAGATAATGTTGTAGCCTAGAAGGGGTTACTGAATGAGGAATAACCAAAATGGAGGTTGGAAATGAAATGGTATTCTTTATAACATCAACAAAATACAATACTCGCCAGCAGCATGAAATAGGTAAACCACTGCTAGTAGTGGACTACTTAGACAGCATATTACCTCCACTTACAATACTGTCCAATGTATTTATGAGGATTGGGACATAGCCATTAGTGTTCATAGGTATGGTATATAACAATTACTTTGCTTGTTTTTTTCTTGATAGATTTTTTTTCCTTGACTTAATGTAAAAATTGTCCAAAAGTTTGATTCGAAGCAATTCAGCTAAATTATGAGCCATTTTCAAGGATTATTTTTAAAACTGATGACACCCTTAAAGATTTAACTCCAATCTTTATAAGATCAACAAAATACAATACTCGCCAGCGGTGTGAAGTAGGTAAACCACTGCTAGTGGTGGACTACTTAAACAGCATATTACCCAACTTACAATAGTGTCCAATGTATGAGGATTGGGACATACTGATTAGTATTCATAGCTATGATATACAGTAAGGAATCATTATGACTTGCTTATTGACATTAGTTTAGCATTATTGTCTATTCTTTTTATTAGCCTAGAAGCTGCCTTTTGGGTAGACTTTAGACTAGTTCCTGCAGAGGGATTTTTGGGCCTT